GGCATATTTAAGCCCATCCCTGACAATCTTCTGTCATATTCTCCAAATGGAATCCGTAAGCCCATTCCCGACATCATCAAATCAAGTGTCACTTCATACGAGTGTAAATTTCTGGGCACTTTAGTGTTCAATCATCTTCCACCTTCAGATCACGAAAGGCAGATAAGCCAATCTACATCCTCAGGTTTAAGAAGATTGAACAGGGGCAGCTGTTGTACCCAAAAATTTTCCCTCTCATTTAGTCAAAACATACTCCTAGAGATCTTCAATTTGCTCAAGGTTGCCCAAGAGTTGACCAGACAAACTCTCTCCTAAGGCAATGTATCTTAAACTAGGGTTTCCATTTTTATCAATATGGGTGAACTCCAAGACCTCATATGCTCTCCATGGTCCTAATATTTTCTCAATACCTTCCATGTAAAATTTCAAGCCTTGCACAAGAAGTTTTCTCAGTCAACTGCTCAGATGCTTGAGAATCGACTATATTATGTCAAAAGTCAATTGTGGCCCACATACAGTCAAACTTCAATATTTTTGGTCAACATAAACATTTTGAAGTTATATCCATCATTTGATCAAGGGTTGATCATGATTCCTCAAGGAATGCCCTAAATTCATCAAAACCCAAAAGTTGCTAAATTAGGGTTTCTTAGGAAAAGTCAACCAAACTTTGACCAAGCATAACTTCCTCATACTTTATCAGAAATTTTCCATCCAAGGCTCATTTTGAATAGAATACAATTCCCTACAATTCATCTTCATCCCTCAAGTTCAAAATATGCACTCACAAAAAAATATGAATTTCCACATTATAGGTCCTTTTAAAAAGTCAACAAAAACACTTTTTGGGTCAAAGCTTCTTACATGAACATGGAAGACTCAATTGAGATGATACCAAAAGGGTTGTTTAGGGGACATCCTAAGATTTCTAAAAAGTCTAAGAACACCTCTCTAGGATTAATATTGGAAGAGATATGCCTTGTCAAAGTTAACCTTTTTTGCAAAATTGCCAAAAGTCAAATGTGCTCAAAACTGCATTTTTTGCCAAATGGGCCTAACATTTTATGCTTGCACCTCACTCATGACATGGTCCACGACCCAAATGTTCACTCACATGTTATTTGCTTCATTATTTATTTTACTTTGATTTTTTATTTATTAAAAATTGAATTAAATCAAATAATTGGTAAATAATAGCAAATATTTGTTTTGATTGGATTTTTGGACAGAATCACAAGCTCATTATGATGGCATATCAGAATCAAATCACATCAAAGATGATTGGCACAAGAATGGCATGATTAGGCCAAATTTAGAAGGAGATCATACCACATGAAAACCAAATCAAATCTCCATAAATTTCAAGATACAAGTTGTTTTTTGTTGACCTAATACACTCCAGTACATATACATAACGGAGCCAAGGCAAAAGAAGGTGGTGGAAGTCGTGAGAAAGGAAGAACAAAACTCTAAATTTGACAAGAAAGTGAGAGATAATTCTTAGACTTAGAGGTTGATTCAGGCCATTCTAAGACTATCAATAGACTCCTAGACGTCTCCAGAACGTGACTCAATCAATTATAAGCCTTGCCACACCCGGATTCGCAAGCCACAGACCCACGATTTGCATCTCAAAACTTGAGTTTGATTTCTTAATTCACGCATGATTAAGCATTTTTAAATATTGCATTGTGTTCATATTGTCATTTGTAACATTTTGGTTTACTTGATTTTGTGTTTTGCTGCTTAAATCCAGAGTTACCATTACTAGGGTTTTCCTGTTGGTTTTAGGGTTTTCACATACAAGTAAAATTAGACCAAGAACAGGGTACTGGGATGATCGAGGCATCAAGATCAATTGAATCCTGGTCTTTGAATTCATTTATCATGTGTATTGCTTAATGTTTGAAGCACACAGGTTGTAGCCACGAACACTTGTCCGTAGGTAAAAGTGCAAGGAGCTAAGACGACGGTCTCAACGAAGGAGACGGTGACTTGTCACCACCCCACTTGATGATTTGAATTTCGCGCGTGTGTTTGATTCAGTTACTTGGTTTTACATATTATGTTTTGTTGTTATTATATTAACAAATAGGAACAATAGCCCAAATGGAAAAGCGTGTTGGTGGTAAGTGTGAGGACCTGGGTTCGATCTAAGGTCCCAGCGCTTTCTTTGTTTTAGTTTTCCTTTACATATCTGGTGCTGCTCTCATCCAAACGCCCACCATATGCCATCACCATCCGACCAATGAATGTGTCTCATGCCCAGATCCAACGCCTATCAATGAAAGACATGGTGCATCAATAGCAAGGAGCAATATCGGATCTCAAACGTGGGACTGGGCTTCAACTTGCTGGGCCTAACAATTCAACAACGCACCCCCCTGATTTCTTCAGCAAACAGGCCCAATTTAATTTTTTTTATTTCTCTTATTTATTTTGTTTTGTTTAATTATTTGTTTTCACAAATTAATTCTTTTTTTTATTAACTACATAAAAATCAACAAATCACAAAAAACACCCAAAAATCATTTTTTCATGAAATAGTTATTTTCTTTAATTAATTAATTAATTTAGTTTAAATTAGGTTAATTTAATTCCTTTTCATAATTAAAACTAATTAGAAATTAGGATTGTAAATAATTAATTTTTCTCCAAAAATAACCAAATTATTTTTTAATTAGATTTTAGGTCTCTTAATTAATTCTCCGCATTTAATTCATCACACGTATTTTTAGTTACCTTTTTTATTATTATTTATCGTAACTGCTTCGAGGTTGTAATAGATTCTAATTAGGGTTTTAATTGCCGCATTTTATTTTCAGTTAAATAATCATGTATCTGCGAAAGCCATGTAATAGTTACGATTTTTATTTTCGCACTTTAAATTTCCGTAATTATTAATTGTTAGATGTATGCTAATAGGATTGTATGGGAAGAATGCTTGAAAATTAAAACGGTAGATAACCTAAATATGCAAAGACAAATTAATTGAAAAAAGATCACTCGCACATGCTCACTTCTAGGGTTTACTCCACTTTAGTTGCCTTCGGTTAAGCGGTCATGAAGTATAGAGTTTGTTAGTGGTCGTCCTCTAGTCCCGAAAGATCTCAAATGACCCATTCAGATGTTGCCTCGGAAACAGATCTTTAAGGCTTTAGGATGATTACTAACACCTCCTAACATTGCTTTTGTGACCGTATCTGTCCCTTCGAACGTCTCTTAAAACTCCAACGACGGTGCTACCTATTACTTAATAATGGGATAGTGCTGTCTAAAGGAAAATGAACAGACTCTTTTTCGAGTAGGTAGAAAACTCTTAAGTACTTGCTAAACAAACAAACTTTTTCACACCAACACTTTCCCAAACAAGGTTTTCAAAAACAACTCTGTAACACTCTTGAGGACAGAAACAAGGGTTAAAATGAAGTAAAACAAAAAATTTCAAAACAAGCACACACAAGCAATTTTAGAAATGAGCAAGTACTTAAGAGCCCATGGAAAACCATGGATAGAAAGGGTTCTAACACCTTTCCTTTCTATAATCTACCCCGTACTCAGAAACATCTCGAAAAAGGCTTTTTCTGTTCTTTTTCCTTTTCCTGATTGGATAAAAATAAAAGTCGGTGGCAACTCTTGCTTACCGCGACATTTTACGAACAAAAAACGCAAAACGCAAACCAATAAAAACAGTCGGTTCTGCCACCGTATCACAAGTAGGACACGAGTCCAATGATTGGTAAAGGTTTTATGCTGTTTATATGTATGAATCACGTTGTGAATAATGAATAATTGTGAAGTGAACCTTAAGACTTGAGTCCAATGTTTTGCTAAAATACTTGTTATGAATCCTGTTATAATGGTGAATGATTATATGTATATCCTCAGAAAGCGAGTATAATGTTTGGTAAAATACTTGCGAATCCTTAATGCGTTGTTTATGTTAGATGTTTGATAGAACCAATGTGAAGCCTTAAATGACAGTGAATGTGTGATAAAACCTTGTGGAAATCCCTAATGTGATAATAAAGGTTAATGCGTTTCAATATGGTTTGGTAGTTCTGATGGAATTTGCTTTTATTTGTTCATCATACGTCATATATATCAGAGTTGATATCATCTAGCGAGAGTGTGTAGTACGATGTGACTCGCATGTACTCCTAAGAATTGTATCTCTACCGATGACTAAGAGAGTGTCTTAGTAAGAGAATGGTTCACATGTATTCCTAAAAATAGATTTTAGTAAAAAATATTGTAGTTCGATGTACCACTAGACATTTTCATGTCTATGGATATCTAGGAGAATGTTGTAGTGAAAGATGTAGTTCATTTGTCCTCCTAAATTATGAGAGCTTAGAAAAATAAGCTTTTGAGTTCAATGATGACACAACATACATTAAAGTAGAGGAGTGGTGTATTTCATAAGCATTCATGTATATTGTAAGAATTATTTAAATGTTATGTACATTGTGATTATGTTTCCTTTTGTTAGTTATCATACCATGTATTTTATATAATATATTACATACTATTTTTTTTTTACAAAGGATCTAGTTATTAGTAATTGCTCCTACCTCACGTTCCAATTTAACTAAATATATTTACAGAATCAAATAAATTATTTACTTTCGTAAAAGGAAAAAAAAACTAAATTCATATACGGAATCAAAATTCGAATATTCGACGAAGTAACCGCAAAACCCTAATACGCTAACTAGAGTTGCACGTGACCCACGTGACTCGGAGAATACAGATCAAGCGCCGCTACGCTCAACTCACACTATCTACGCTGAAAAACAAAATCTGTCATCTCAACCGTCCGATCCATTTCCACGTCATCAATCCGCGTGAATCCGCATTTCAACGGTTCAGATCAGTGTTTCAGAGCAACTGGGTTAGCGAAGGGAAGAACCGTTTTCTCTATTCCCCGTTCACGATTTTCTCAACAACGAATTTCGAAATCTTCAGAAAAAAAAATCTCTGGTTTTCGAATTTGGAAGATGAAGATAGAAGAGATTTTGAACTTGAAGGAGAAGGATGAGGAGAACGAGGTTATCGTTTTGAGTGATAATGATGAAGAGTTTGATTCGGTTGAAAAAGTGGTGGAAGATGGAGAAGACAGTGAGGAAGATGATGATGGTGGAGATGATGATGAAGAAGAGAATGATGACGAGGATGACGACGACGATGATGATGCTACTGGTGCTGGTGAGGATGATGACGAGGAGGATGAAGAAGTTGGAGCAGGTGAAGGTGCACGTGGTGGTGAGCCGGATGACGACGATGATGATGATGACGATGATGACGACGATGATGATGAAGATGATGAAGATGATGAGGATCCAGAGGAAGAGGTAGATTACTAAACCCTAATTTCCAGAAAATTTTATTTTACTCTGTATGATTTGATAATTTAGTTTCTGGACGGTTTATTTCCTCTTGTTTTTGTTAATTTTGCTTGATTCGTTGATTTTTCCTTTGAAATTTGGTTTTAATTTCGTAACTTTTTGATAATCTGAAAAAATTAGGGTTTATTTTCAAAAACTAATTTTTCTATTATAGATTTTTGAAATTTGTTCAAAAGTTAGGGTTTACTTTCTACTGTTGAATCTAACTATTAGCGTCAATTCGTGTATGTTTTTTTTTTAAAATTTATTTACGGAATTTCATGTGTGATTATTGTATTATGTTTGATAAAGTTTTCGAATATGGTTTATTTTTTGATATTGGTTTTGATTATTATTTGAAATTTCTGGCTGACTTTATTAGGTTGCTTTTGTCGAAATTTGATATTTTCATTTTCATGAAGAAAAAATTATTCTGGTGTTTATTTACTTTGACCTAGTTTTTACTTTAATAGGATTTGTTGTTTAAACTTATAATAAGTAACCGTGATTTTGTTAATCTAACCACAAATGTTAATCTCACCGCAAATTCATACATAGATCAACTTCTACCATGATGTTTTATCTAAAATAATGTGTTTATCTAATCGTTAATCTTGAGAATTTTCTTAATAATTTCGTTTATGTTGGAGAAAATTAAATCCTTTTCACATGGAATAATCATTATATAGCGGACAAGCTCCTTTATAGGTATAGTTTAGATTACTTGAATGTTGAATGTGTTTTTTCTATTAAAAGCTCCATGAGACTGTTCACATAAATCACTAATCTTTATGTAGTTTACTGCATCAATTTTGTTCTTGAACTATATTTTGATTTTTGCTGTGTTCCTTATTGTATTTGAGTACTCTTTCTTACACGTTGTTTTTTTTAGGAGGATTTGGGAACAGAGTACCTTGTCCGTCCTCTAGGTGCTGCTGAGGAGGAGGAGGCGTCAAGTGATTTTGAACCTGTGGAAAATGGTGTTGATGAAGATGAAGTGGAGGAAGACGAAGGCGAGGAAGATGAAGACGACGACGATGGTGGTGACGATGGTAAGAAGGCTGCTGTGGTTCCACCGAAACGAAAGAGGTCAGGCAAAGATGATTCAGATGATGACGATGGAGGAGAAGATGACGTCCGACCCTCAAAACGATAGAGTTGGATTCATTGTTGGAGAACTAGTCAACTATCAACTATAGGTCAACATATCTATCTCTCTTTGTCCTTAAAACACGTTCCAGAGGGATAAACTAGTTTATGGAAGTGTTTGTTGCTATTTTGTATTATTATGGTGAGTATTATTAGGGTTATTACTATATTTATCAGTCAGTTAAGTGCATAGTTAATAGTGGGGTGAAACTTGTAGGACAAATTTTACAGACTTGATTTTTAATCTTCCACCCACTTCTTAGGTCAGTGGATCTTGTTCATTACTATTTCTGGTACTTCAAAATTGTTGGTAGTTCTTCTCTTGTTTTATAGAAAAAGTTTGGTCGTGTAAAAGTCTTTTTACATAAGATTTTTTTTTTTTAAAATGCTTTTATGCTACAACTTTTTTTTTGGTTTTTACATATGCTTTTGATTATAACGGTGATATGGATATTATTTAGAATATTTCAAAAATTAACCAATTAAAGTGATGTGATGTAAAATGATTGGTTGGTTGTATGGCGAGGTGGTAAATGGGTTTGTTTAAAAATCTATTTTGAATAATTAAATTAATTAAAGTGAATTTTAAGAATCCGTTTAAACTTTTTTATTTTACTAAAATATTTCTTACACCTCTTAATCTCTCTCCCTACCTTAACACTATGTTTGGTATAAGTGAAATAGAGGAGAGAAGTTGTAGAGAAGTATGAAACTTCTCATGTTTGGTATGCCAAGAAATAGGAGAGAAAGATAAAATTTAGGTGGGACCCATCACTTTTTCTTTTCTTCTCTCAATTGCGAAGAGTTTATGAATGGTGTGTTTGGTTGTGAGATGAAAATGAAAATTTAATGTATTGTTTGTTATAAGACAAAGATATCCTTTAATTAGAGAATTATAAAAGAAATAGAAGAGAGAGATGTGTAGTTATTTTTGAAAAAGATAAACATATCCTTTAATTAAAAAAAAAAGTTAATCCACCACAAATTTTACACAAAAGTTTTAAAATATTAACTGTTCAAGGCCATGATTTTTACAGTAAATTTTACACAAAAGTTTTAAAATATTAACTGTTCAAGGCCCTGATTTTTACAGAAATTTCAATTAATACCAAAAACAAATTGAAATATAAATATTATTATGCATAAAAAATAATATGAAGAAAACAAATTAAACTCTAATTAAAATTACACATACTAAAACTTAGTAACTAATATGAGATTATTCATCCAAAAGAAATAGAACCTTCTTCACCTCAATTTAATCTTTAGTTATAAGAGTATGAACGGAGACGACAAAATGCTAGAGACTTTCTTTGTATAAGTATCAATTGAAAAAAGCACAAAATCCAAAGCTATTTACAGTAATATATGGGGTTAGAGGTGAGGGTATTTTTGAAATATCACAAAAAAAGCATATTTGCAGACTTTCTTCGCATTTGAGGAGAGATTGAAAAAAGCTACTTTTTGGTCTTTCTTCTCTCGTTCTCTTGTACTTCTCGCGTAAACCAAACAGAAGAGATTCTGTCTCTCTCCCCTAGTTCTCTCATTTTTCTTATACTAAACATTACATTAAATCTACTCTATTTTTCATCTTTTTCCCTCTTCTCATATTCTCTCACATATTTCTCTCTTTATCCTTTCTCTCTACAACCAATAACAGCCTAAATCTATTTATCAGTTTCATCATCAATCCAAACATATTCAAGTCATTATTTGAATGATAAATCACTGTCCGTTTGTGAACTTCCCCAATCCACACAAATTCAAGCTGAAATCAACCATTCAGTATAAAATAAATAGTTAGAAATAAATCCCTTTATAAATTTTGTCTATTATTTTGTTTTATAATCAAAATATATTGAAATAAGAATATAATCAAAATATATTGAAATAAGAATATAAGGAGTACTACATCTCAATACAAAGTCACTATTGTTAGAAATTCACTAAAGTATCAATGATGAATTTCTATCAATCTTGATGAACAAGATTGATATCACCACACAATGACAATGAATTATGAGAAAAGAAAAGAAAGAAGACAATTATTTTCTGTAGAGTTTCTCTCTGCCCACAAACTGTAGAAAACTTTATTAATCACTTGCAACTGCAAGTTATGTGATTACAATGAATTGACTTAATTACAAAATTATGGGTTACTCTCTCTATTTATAGATTTAGATTAACTTGCTCCCTAAACCAAAACTATAAAAGCCCAAAATACTTATTTTGGTACTAAATCAAATCTATCTATTTTAGATTTAAATCAAATTCATCTAAATCTAAAACCAATCAAATCTGTGTGTAACTTGCTTCGATCCACAAACTCTTCGACTGGGCAACCTCCCTTCGACACACACACTGTTTCAACACAATCGAATTACAATTTAACAAACCACCTAATTCATTGTGTCTAAACTATCTATATTCATCATGGTTCTTAGTCTTCTGAATACTTCGACCTGCACTCCCTTCGTCATGATGTCTGCAATTTGATTCTCAGTTCTGCAGTGTTTCAAATTCTTCTTCCCATCTGCTACTTGCTCTCGAAGATAGTGAAACCTCATTTCGATGTACTTGCTTCGACCATGCGCTATCAGGTTCTTCACCAGATTGATAGTTGACATGCTGTCGATCTTCATGGTAATTACTCCATGATCTTTCTCTGTTATCTCTTCGAACAAGTTCACCATCCAAGTTGCTTGACATGCACAAAGAGAAGCAACTATGTATTCTACTTCGCATGATGATAATGCCATTACTGGTTCCTTTCTTGAACTCTAAGCAACTGGTGCACCACCTAACATAAACACATATCCTGCTGTTAATTTTTGATCTTCAACATCACTACACCAACTCGAATCAGTGTATTCCACTAACTTACATTCTTTTCCTTTATCAACTGCAGAAAACAAAATGGCATAGTCGAGAGTTCCTTTAAGATACCTTAATATCCTCTTCATCACTGCTAGATGTGATGCCTTTGACTTCTTCATGAATCTACTTACCTACTTACACTATATGCTAAGTCAAGCCTTGTATGATAAAGGTATCTCAATGACCCAATAAGTCCTCTGTATTGGATTGAGTCGACATCATCTTCATCTACATCTTTCAACAATTGCAGTCTTGGTTCTGCACGTGTCGAAGTTGAGTTGCGTTCTTCCATCTCAAATCTCTTGAGAATTTCTCCTGTATATCTTCTTTGATGCATCATGAAACCTCTAATGCTCTTGTAGAATTGGATGCCAAGGAAATATGAAATCTCACCCAGATCATACATTTTGAATTCCTTGCTGAGATCACCTTTGAAGTCTTCGATCTCACTTTTGGAGTTACCTGTTATCAACAAATCATCGATATAGAGATATAGTATAATCAATTCACTATTGTTTCTTCTTACATATACTCTGTGTTCAGTTATGCACTTCACAAATTTCTTCTCCCTTAGGAAACTATCAATTTTATTATTCCAAGATCTTGGAGCTTGTTTCAATTTATACAGGGATTTATGCAGCCTGTACACCTTTCTCTCTTCGTCATGTTTCACAAACCTAACTGGTTGTTTAACATAAACTTCTTCGTCTAACGGTCCATTCAAAAATGCACACTTCACGTCCATCTGACATATGTGCCATCTGTTTATTTCTGCTAGACCAACAACTAACTTGATTATTTCGATCCTAGCAACAGGTACAAAAACTTCATCGAAGTCTATTCCTTATTTTTGTAGAAATCCTTTCGCCACAAGCCTTGCTTTGTTTCGAGTTACTTCCCCTTTGGAATTTGTTTTTACTTTATATAACCACTTGACATCAATCGCCTTCTTGCCTTGAGGAAATTCGACAAGTGACCAATTATTGTTGTCTTTGATAGACTTCACTTCTTCGTTCATTGCTTTCACCCACTTCGAATCCTTCAATGTTTTAGCTGCATTAACAGGTTCGATATCTGCATAGAAAGCATAATGTACCAACTCACCTTCATTATCTATCACATCATCTGATGTAATCACACAATCTTGCAATATTGCAGGCATGCATCTTGTTCTTTGAGGTCTGCTTGTACTTGGTTGATCTATAACTGTTGGTTCCTCTTGTCGAACTTCTCTTTCAACTTGAGTTTCTGGTTCTTCAAGCAGGATTCCCACTGAATCTTTCTTGACATTTTTAGTCCAATCCCATTCTTTAAGCTCATCTATGATCACGTCCCTGCTGATCACAATCTGCTTGCTCACTGGGTCGAACAACTTGTAACCTCCTGTCGAATGATATCCAACTAGAGTCATTTGACTCGACTTGTCATCAAGTTTTCTTCTCAATTGATCTGGCACATGTCTATGTGCAATAGATCCAAATACTTTCAGATGACTCAAGCTAGGCTTCACACCAGACCAACATTCTTCTGGAGTAATTCCTTCTAGCTTCTTTGTAAGATATTTGTTCAAAATGTATATTGCAGTTGACACATCTTCACCCCAAAACTCTTTAGATAAATTCTTGCCTTTCAACATACTTCTCACCATATTCATGATGGTTCAATTCTTCCTTTCTGTAGTTCCATTATGCTGTGGAGTATAGGGTGGCACCACCTCATGCACAATCCCTTCCTTTTCACATAACCTGTCGAAGTCTTTCGACACATACTCTCCACCATCATCAGTTCTCAAAACTTTGAGTTTTCAACTACTTTGTCTTTCGATCATAGACTTAAACTTGGTAAATACCTCGATCACTTCACTTTTCTTCTTGATCAGGTAAGTCCACAACTTTCAAATGAAATCATCTATGAATGTAACAAAGTATTTGTTACCTCCCATTGAATCCACCTGGATTGGTCCACATAGATCAAAGTATATGACTTCAAGAATAACCTTCAACCTGCTTCCTGCATCCTTGCTGAAGCTATTCTTGTGCTGCTTCTCCTGCACACATTTCTCACATACCTTATTTGGAATGTCGATTTCTGGAAATCCTGAAGCCATATTTCTTCTCTTCAAATATCTGA